AGAGTTTGTTTGAAGAAAGGTAGGGCTCTTAATTGCCCCAAATGAGGGATTTATTTTGCTAGTTGTAGTGGCAAGGACATAATGTTTGACTCTGTAGGATTAGCATCACTAGGTTCTACTATACAAGTTGCTTTTTAAAAACCAAAAGTTTAGGAGCTGCTATTTAATTTTTTTTGGTCACTCTACTTTTTTCATGCCAGTTAATGTGTGGCAAAATACAAAATTGCTTTTCCTCTATTTTGTTTGAACCTTGCTTCGCCTCTCTGGTTGTCAAGACATTTACTAAGGTACAAAATCTTTATTTAAAGCGAAATACCAGGGAATAGTAGTGAGAATGAAATAGTGCTGAGAACTATTATCACTGAAACATATTTCATTTTAAATTTAAAAATCTAATATTTAGATAATAATGACTATTATTTATTGAGCAATTGTTATAGTATCTTTTATGCTTATTCTTATTATTCCCATTTTATAAGATGAAGAAGCTAAAGGACACAGAAAATGATTAAGTAACTTGCCCCATGTCAAATTATTTAACTTCTTTACTAAAGGAAAGCTGGGATTTGAATCCAAGTTCTTAATAACTGTTGCCCCTGTTTTAGTAATAAAAATATAATTTTAAAAACAGACATGCAAGTAATATATTGGTTTATATGAAAAGAAGTTCCACAAAAAATAATATATAAGCATTCTGCATTAAATTTTCATTTGATTTTCAAATAATTACATTGAAAATACTCTTGTTCTATTCAATGTTATAGCTTAGGGAGTTTGTATTTCCTTAACATTTATATACATCTCATTTGTCAGAAATCTCAGGTATTTCCCAAGAAAACATTAAAAATATCCTCACATAATTACTACTTTTTTTATCAGCTCTTTGGACAAAGAATGAAGGTTAATTCTAATGACTGAATTAATGAAACATGCCTTGATATTTTTTCTAAACTAACTAAAGCACATATCTGTATCATACCTATGAACCCCAGACTAATTATTAGCAGTAATTACTAATCAGTAATTATCAGTAGTAATTTATTTGTTGTTTTGCTTTATGCATGCATTTACTTACTGAAATGTTTATCAGCCTCTTCACATAAGCCAACATTAATTGCCCACCAGTTTGTTTATTCACTGCAACCTTTCCCTTCCTCCATCTTCTGGACCTGAATATGGAATTTAATCTAATTTAAAGAATTGGTTCTATGAAAGTTATTGGGAGAAATTCAGAATATACAGGAGTAATAAAACTTATTTCAAACTGTGAAACAACTTTGATTACTGGAGGATGAGTTTTTCTGTTTGTAAATATTCTCTTCACCCACCCCAATCTTTTAATCATGTTACCCTATAAAAACAAAGGGAGGCCAAGCATGGTGGCTCATGCCTATAATCTTAGCACTTTAGGAGGCCAAGGAAGGAGGATTGCTTGAGGCCAGGGCTTCAAGACCAGCCTGGGCAACATAGAGAGACCCCATCCCTACAAAAAATAGAAAAGTTAGCAGGGCATGGTGGCATATGCCTGTGGTCCCAGCTACTCAGGAGGCTGAGGCAGGAGGATCGCTTGAGCCTAGGAATTTGAGGTTGCAGTGAGCTATGATGACTCTAGCCCAGGCAACAGAGCAAGATTCTGTCTAAAAAAAAAAACTCAAATCCAAAAGGACTCATTTGTTCATTTATTCAATAAACATGGTGATAGCTTACATTTATATAGGATTTTACAGTATACAGAATGCTTCACAGAAATCTTTCCATTTCAACCAAACAATAGCTTTGGGAGACCTGTGGGAAAAATCATGTTCATCATGCTACTGTTATTATAGTTTCTATTTGTTCAGTACTTCCTATATAACAGGCAGTGTACCAGATTCTTGATTTAAGTCATCATTATCACCATTTTGCAAATAAGGAAACTAATATGTGGAGGTTAAACTTGCTAAGATCATATGGCTGTGACGTGAAACCATATTTCTGATCTAGATCTGTCTTGCAGAAACCCATCCTCTTTTCACTGTGCCATGCTGCTACTATTTTTCAGATGAGAAACATTAGATGACTTGCCCAAAGTCATAGAGCTAATAAATAGCAGAACTGGACTTTTATACTTAGAATTACTCAATTGTAGGTATTATAATACCTACAATAAGCATTTATTGAGTGCCTACTATGTGCTAGTTGCTGGGGACAGAGTCTCTGCTTTTTAGTGAAGAATGCAGACATGTAAGTGAATAATTTCAGAACAGTGCACCAAGTGCTGTAATAGAAGTATATATACAATTACTGTGAAACTAAAGTCACTTTATTTAAAATGAGTACCTATCTACGTATTAAAAAGTATTTGGCATTTTAAATGTTAATAGATACCCATTTATTTGTCTTTTAGTACAAAGAACTGGAATACACCACTTATATTTGACCTTAAAGAAGGAACTGTTAGTTTAATTCTACAGGCTGAAAGGTAATTTATTGTGTTTAACTATTGTATTTGGGGTTAAAATATCTCAAATAGCAATACAGCACTCTTTAGAGCATCCCATTTACAGAATGTTACACTAGTCATTTGGAACCAATCCGTTTCTATTATGTGTTTTAGAAGAAGAGCATAAGCTCTTAAATCAGTGGTTCTGAAACTTTTTAGTCTCAGAAATTTTTTACATTCTTAAATAATTATTGAAAGTTATATGTGGGTTATATATATATCAGTATTTACTATATTAGAAATTCAAAATAAAAAATTTAGAAGGTATTAATTTATTTAAAATGGTAAGAATAAACTCATTACAAATAAACATCAGAGTAATGACATGAGAGAATGAGAGTGACACATGGAAACTACTATGAAATAGTTCCGACCTCACAGCCCCCCTATTTTCTATTTTGTTCTGTTTCTGTTTTTGTTTTTAAATATCAGTTGAAACTCTTTGGTTTCGTGAGCCACTACTGGCCTGTGACCTGAAGTTTGAAAAATAGTATTCTCTATCAAGACCTTTAGTGTATACAGGACTAAGAAACTCCAGGCAGTTAACTGGAGTAAATCAGGAATAGCTATTACTCAAGAACCTACACTTTTCCATGAAAACTGTCAATTAGTTTCTCAAGTACAGTGATACCATGCTAAATCAGAGGACAGACTTAGAAAGCTACAACCCAATAAAACCTGGAATAAAGTTTGAAAATATAATCGACAGTTACCTAAATAGCCACCCATAAAACATTTGCACTAAAACCAAATACTTTATTCCTCATCCCTTTACTCATCACCTAGGCAGCTCTTAATAGTGTTTGTTATCAGGTTTTCTAGCCCACAGCTTTTTATAAATAGCAAACTAGAAGAGGAATGGTGCTGTTGGGCTGTTAGAGGCTGGCACAATGACAGGAAGAAAAGTGACTGCCTGGCAAGGAAGCATGGAGAAAACTGAAAGCACAGAACTGTGTAGCTGAGTAGTATAATTATTCTGAGCACCAACAGATTTTCACGAGTATCAAAGCTATACGTTAAATAGTTGCTGGAGTTCGATCATCATATTGATGACTTTGAATGATCAAGAAAATGTTATGTCAAATTTTAAATCACTGTTTAATGAAAT